GTACTGTGACTATGGTCATGTACACAGATTACGGTGTACTTTTACTAAGGTCATGTACATAGTACACTGTGTACTTTTACTGCGGTCACATACACAGTATACTCCTCTTTAAACCTTTGACATGTATGCAGGAAACTGTTCTTGAATGTGAGGTGTGTCCTCATGTCTACTCCTGTCTTTGATGTGTCAGCTAATTGACGCGCTGCAGTTCAACACAGGGTCAGCATCTTCCCCATTTCCAGGCTTGTCTCTGCAGCTTTGTGGCGCTGCCGCCCCCTCCCGCTTCCGTTTACCTTCGTGTAGAGCACAGCCCAGCCAGAAGTTCAGGCGCAGGAGGGCAGACTCATCCTGCACACAGTCCAAGTACTGCAGAGCGAGACTGGAGCCCAGGAGTGAGCCCATCTGAGCCGGCAGCTGATGGGGGGTAAAACACAAAACGATAAAAGCTGTGAGAGAACTTAGAGCACATAAATTCAAATAAAAAGACAAAAAATATGCAGAGTAATGAAGCTCACAAAGTCAAACTTGGCATTAAAATGCATTAAAACTCATCTGACCGCCTCATTTTACTTCCAAATCAACCTGTTTACCTGCTGAAAAAAAAAACAGAATTAAAAGTAGCAGGCCGTACTCGCCGCCACACTGAGGGAGGTGAACGAGTTTTGAGGCGGATCTCGAGTATCCAGTAGTCTTATTGATGGCAGAACTGGGACATTAGTTTTGGATCATTTATGGAGTCTCTTACTGTGAACAAGCAGCTGCCTCTCAACACGGAGCCCTTTGCCAGGAACATGAATAAATCAGAACAATAAGGAGACAGACTGAACGGACACAACTCAGCTCTTCAATAATTATGGAGCAAATGTCTCATTAAAGCCAGAAAGCACCGTTCATTTTATCACACAGTGCGGTCGCTGAAGGAAATATCTGATCTTTACTCTCGAAGGAGCGGTTTAATAAAGGGAGATTGAACGTCTTCATCGTTTTGGCGAAGAAGAAGAGCTTTCTTGGCAATAAACAACTTTGGTCCCTTTTAAAAGCCTCAATGTTGGGTTGTGTGTGCAGATGAAGGGCTGAATTTATGTGGAAAGTAATTTAAAATGACCCGTTTTATTTCTGCAGGTCACTGAGTCTTCAGAACAAATTTATGAAGAAGTTTTATTATTTAGACAAATACTTTACGAACATATATCATCCTCTTGTGCTTTTTACCAATCATAGAGGAGACAAATCACTAAGATTTAAAAAAAAAAAAAAAAAAAAGACAATAATAATTGTAAAGCAAATGAGAAGTGCAACGCACATAAAGTAGTTTTATGCTCTAATCTAATAAAACTATTACAGCCACAAGCCACCTGCGCTTTGGTTTCTCTGCAGTAAAGATGTAAATGACCTGAACACAAGATTAAGGTTAGGATGGTAACACAGCGCCACCAAGTGGTCAAAATATTTCATCACAAGTCCAGAGTTCAGCAGGCGTTTTACCTTCCATCAGGCTGTAATTCAGAAGTTTGATTCGGCTATAAAAACATTTTTGATTAATCTGTTGTCTCTTTTTATTGATTATTTGTAGGGTCTTAAAAGTTGGCCATTTTAAATTCACTTTGTGCATTTTTTAAATGAAGATCAAAGGTGGATGATACTGTTGTCCTGTGCGTTTGTGTGTGTGTCAGCAAAGTGTCTTGCGATCCAGATGATGAATTTTAATGAAACTTTCAGAAAGTTACCGCTGGATGTACTTCTACAACTTATTAACGTTTAGTGTCAGCCCAGTACAAGATGGATAAGTGGTTATAATTCAAATAAGCACTTAATTTTTTTTATTTTTATAAAACGTTCCCCCACACACCGCAAACTGAATTAACCCGGGCCTGTTCAACACAAAGTCGATATCCAGGTAAGAATTAAAGAAAGGCGTGCATAAAGCTCTTAACAGCATTCAGTCTCGTTTTAAAGGTTTTATGGCAGTCTTGTTTGGATATGCAGTGGGAAATGGCAGCAATGTTGAAATAGCTTTGTTTGTGAGAATGGGAATTTCTTTGACAGCCGTCAACATAAAACTGTCTAAAGGTAGATCAGCAAAGCTTAGCTTTAACCCACGGTCCTCCTGCTCCTGTAAAGTCATGTCCTTTCTAAAGACTGCTGCTGAGCTGTATTGGTCCCTGACCCAGAACTTTGTCTAGGATCCAGGTCACCACCACCATCTTCTTATTACCGTAGTATATAGTACCTACTACCACCTGCTGACAAGGAACAGTTTAAATTACTGGCACTTAACCACACATTGCAGGCACAGATGTTAAAGAATGCTGAATCTTTGTAGTGACTGGTTCTTCTATCACTGTCCCATTTCCTTAAGGGAACAGAACAATATCCCATGGTACACCTGACTGTCTCTCACAGGAACGCTAGTGTGCAGCAGCACAACGTTAGTAGCTGCGAGTTATTCCTAACACATTCTGAGCGTGATATTCATGTATGATTGTGCATAATGTTAAGTTAAAAAAGCAACAATTTCAGCTTTTCTCAACATAAGATGATCTTAGTTTAAAACTCTAGCATGAAAGAGGAGGTGGAAAATCTGGAGAGCTGGTGCAGAAAGAACAACATTCACATCAATGTGAAGAAGATGAGGGGAGATGGTTGTGGACTTCAGACGGAACAAACACACCTACCCCACCCACACTGAACATAAGAGGATCTGCGGTGGAAGTGGTCTCCAGCTACAAGTACTTGGGTGTGCACCTGAATGACAACCTCAGCTGGAGCAACACCACCAGCCTGATCAAGAAAGCTCATCAGAGACTCTACTTCCTCAGACGGCTGAGACGAGCTGGTCTGGGACGCTCAGTCCTCACCTCCTTCTACAGGTGTGCAGTGGAGAGCATCCTGTGCTCCAGCATCAAATGTGGCATGGAGGCTGCACAGCTGCAGAAAGAAAAGCTTTGCAGAGAGTGGTGAAGGCTGCACAGAAATCTGTCGGAGTCAGCCTCCCCACCATCACAGACATCTACACCTCCAGATACAGGAAGAGGGCCCCCTGCATCATGAAGGACCCCACTCACCCAGCACACACACTTTTTGCCCCGCTCCCCTCAGGAGGAGGTTGATGAGCATTAAGTCTAGAACCACTAGACTGAGGAACAGCTTCTACCCTGAGGCTGTTGGACTCATGGAGACGATTATCTGTTTCACAGTCTGTCTGCACCTCCCTGTGTTTTTTCCTTTCATGTTGCTGCGCACACCTGTCCCCAATCCTAATCACTACAGGTGTTTACCCTCTCGTCTCATTAGTACTAGTATAAAACGTCTTTCTGTTCAATCTTTTGGTGTCCCAGCATTGTCTGACTAACTAATCTACCCGTCTCTCCAACTCTTCCACGGTGCCCTCGGTCTGGTCTTCTCCTTTGTCCTAAGTAAGTTTTTGCTGCCCAGACAGCACTTTATTTTGATCAGTAAACTATTGTTATTTTTTTACTTCTGAGTCCTCATGCCTCGGCCTGCACTTGGGTTCGACACCCAATACCAGATCGTAACACTCATGAATCCCTAGCCAGGATGATCACCGTGAAAAAAATCACTCATGCTGCTGATTTGTTTCATTCGTACTCATCTGCTCACACTGACTCATGGTCGGTGTATTGTTTTTGCACTACTAGCGCTTAGTGTATTTTTACCTAACGTTTTTCTTAGTTCATATCTTAGAGCTTATTACTGTTATTATTTTACATTTTATACTTTTGTTGAATGTAACTGGGACCATGTGTACATGTTCCACCACATGTAGCACATGTGATGCGAATGACAAATGAAACTCTGACTCTGAAAGGCGATGTACAATAAGCATTTCTCCAAAAAATACTGAGCTTTGGTCATCTTACCAAGTTTTCATTCAACCTTTATTTAGACAGATTGTTCTGCTTTATAAAATTAAATATGAACATCTGTATGACTTTGACTAAAATTTTAAGTGCAACACCCATTCAACTTGAAATGTCTCTTTCCATTATAGCTTTTTTTAATCCTCTGCTTACGTAGTAATAATCAAGGAACTACTGAAGAGGGAAAATTTAGAATAAAAAGTTGAGAAATAAGTAAAAGGCACCCAGGCAGATGCAGAACTCTGTTCGTTACCTCAATGCGATGAACATTTTTCAGCAGCTGATCAAAGGACTGAAGATGAGCCAGAGGGACCAACTTCCTGCTGGAGCTCTGTTCAGTCTGAGCATCTTTGTTGATGACACAAGTCACGGCTGGCAGCTGCAGGTGACAGTGTTTCTAGAAAAGAAAAGAAAAAAGTGTTTACTAGGTCTGACAGGAAATATATTTGTGAATTATGTCACAGTAAATAAGTGTTTCCTGGAGTGTAACGTGACATCAACACATATTAACACTTTGGTCAATATTAAATAACCAGATCAATAAGTTCGGGGCAGGGGGTGGGTTATCATTTTTATGCTATATTTCTAATTAGGGTCAGTGTTGTTGGTCACACTACTTATTTTTATTTGAACTGTGGGTAAAAGGTCATGTATAAAGTCATATTTTACCCTTCCTGCTGCTGTCCTAGGGTCAAAATTACCCTTGAGGCCAAATATATCCCCAAACAATGTTTATTCAGGTATTTATATTTAATTCAATATTGACGTGGTCATTAGGGATGCACAATATTGGATTTTTGGCCGATATCAGATATGTTAAAACTTATTTGGCCAATAACAGATACCGATTTTTTTTTTTTCCCCTCTAGAGCTATTTACAGAGACTACACTGTTTTCTCTGTTGTGGAATTAAAATACTACATTATTCTGCATGGTCTTTGTCACTTTGGCCTGATACCAAATGCAGATGCCAAAAAGGGGGCTGAAAATGATGCAACACTTCAACTTGGATTATGTTTAACGTCAAATTTATTCATGACATTTACTCTTTCTAACACAATGACAACGCTCGAATAGTGCGCATTTGTAAATTTTCACAAATTGAAACTCAACCTGTTCACAAGCGACAAGTGAAAAGCGCATAAGTAGTAGTGCATTAATAGAAATACTTGACAGTTTCTTAAATTAACCTTTTATATCGTTGAGGTTTTCTGATTTAATGGCCATTGTCCGATATTTATCTTTATCGCTTATATCGGCCAATACCGATACCATGCCAATAATATTGTGCATCCCTAATGGTCAATCTACTCTCAACCGTCCTGCTGCCCTTGGGTCAAAATGAGCCACAAGGCTGCAGATTGAAAAGCAAAGCCTTGTGGGTAATTTTGATCTAAGGGCAGCAGGAGGGTTAAAACCTTGACAGGGCCCAAACAGCACAAAAGTATTTTCTTCTTCATTAAATAAAATTGTATTTAAAACAAAGTTAGGCCACTACTAAAACCTTTAACAACATTTAGAGCCAGTTTTAAATAATTAAACAAAAAGCCAAGCGTGCAGATTAACAAGTAATGAAAACACTTTAAAATACACAAATAAATTTCTGTTTTAAACTGAGCGTGCAAATCCTACTTAAGAACTTCAGATAAGCACAGAGCAGATCGAGTGAGTTTTCCACTCGTTGATGAAATGATGAAAAGCAGCAACAGTCTATAAAGAGTGGAGAGATTCAGGTTGAAACAGACTGAAGAAAAGCTGGAAACTCACCCTTTTCCTGGAGCTGCTTCTGTCTTTGATGGTCACGGTCAGGCTGATGCCGGACACAGCTGCCACACCGTTCCTCTTCTGGACACCAAGCAGGGCCGACTTCCAGGGGGAAACATGGTTCCTAAACCCGCTCTGCAACAATAAAAACATTCAGTACCACTTCAGAGAGGCTGGTAGAACAGTTTTAACACGATCCCGCGTGTACAAACCCTCATCCGTGATGGAATGGAGAGCGTCACCAGCTCAGGGCAAAACACTTTATAAAGTGAGAGCAGGTGCAGGAGGAATGGCTGCCTTCCCTGGAGAATCAAGAAAACTGATCAGCAAACTGAATAAAACACTCCACAACCCACAAAATGTTCAACAGAATCCACACGAACTCAACTCTAGTTTATCGTGTTAAGGATAATTAAGTCGAGGTCTGATATTTGAAGGGAATTTCTAACTTGAGGACCAAAATTTGCATTCTTCTTTAGACAAATTTAGGAAAAAAATAAAATAAGCTTTTTTTTCTTTCAGTTTTCACCTTAAACACTATAATACAGATTTCCTACAAAGACTCCAGTGATTTACATCTTTAAAACTTTTCCATTTGTGAAAGTTCATGGAAATAGCTGACAATTTATTTAAGGTTTTAATTTTTATGCTCGGTTTATTTTTGATTAACTTCTTTTAACATGTAAAGAACTTGTCTCTTTTTTTTTTCTTCTTTTTTTGCTTTGTTTTGTTTTTTGAATGTCCAGAGGACCAGACTTAACTTTTTTTTTTTTTTTTCTACCTGGATTATTGAGCATGCATCAGGATAACTTGTCTCTTTGTTTGTATTTTAGTTTATTCTAAATCTGATTTAGTATTTCATTGTTTCTAATTGTTTTTGGTTTTATATTTTTATTCCATATGCTGTAAATATATCTTGCTACTTTTTATCTGATGATGTGATATTTTTGTTAAGCACTTTGGTAACAGTTTCTGTTTTAAATGTGCTCTATAAATAAATCTGACTTGACTATTCCATTAGCAAAGGCCAGGTCAAGGTCACAGTGACCTTTGTTAAAACCTTGTCTACAAACAAACATGTATGTACTTAATTGAAACACAATATCAAGATTGTGTGAGGGAATTCATGCTGTGGTTTTTAGTTAATCCGACTCTTTATAGCAGGGTGTAATATGCACTGCTGGCTTTGCTCTTCTAGCCTTTGATATGTTGGCTTTTTGTCGAGGTGGATCGATTTTAGTAGTTTGAACCCAGGTCTGCACCAACTTCCAATGACTTTTCACCCCATGACCATGAAATCAACAGAGATCAGCCTTGACCCATGAGGTGTCCAGCTATGCAGTTAGAGGATCCTATATTAAAGGGTTATTAAAGCTCGGAAAATAAATTGCCCAGACAGAGGGATGAAGTTATCATACCATACAGCCCATCTTAGGACAGGTGTACAAAAATAAATACTGAAGGGGGAAAAGACTCGGCGTTAAGTTAGGTCTTTATTGAACAGGATGTTTACCAGTTTAAACTGCAGCTCCAGCAGCTTCCTAACTCTGAAGACTCTCACTGAAACAACAACAAAAATACGGGTACTGTTAATACTTATAAGGTAGAAGTTATGGGGACAAATAAACTAAATATGAATTAAAGAGAAATAGTATGTGGATCATATTTAAATAATTACTTACCACTTTCCTTTCGGGTCAAAAGGTACAATAAATGGCAAATGAAAGGACACTGAAAGCACACAACAACACACAAGTCAACAATTTATATGTAATTTATTTTGATATACCAATTTACACCAATTAAATACGTATAAAGAAGGACTCAAACCTTTTTTCACACATTTATCTGACAGACCCTACTCATAAAGTCCTGATAACAGAAAGTTTATACAAACTGGGGTTGAAACACCAAAAGAGGTGGTCTTAAAATGATCTCCAGATATCAAATTAAATTGAAAAATTATTTTGTAGCTGTTTACAACTGATCAAACATTGACGTCAACCCAATATTTCAACCAGTAATAGTCAAGATCACAAGTCTGCCGCGTTATTTTAAGAGTCCGAAGAAAAGAAAACTGTAGGAACCACTGATTTATACAGTAAACAGATCAGTCCAATACCTATCCACCTGATTCCTGGGGTGTCTACTGTATAAATGATTATGGGTACAACTTCCTGTCAGATACTAGAAGTAGCAGTAAGCATGGTTAACTAAGGTAGTGGAGCACAGACCGCAGTTTATTTCAAAGTAATTTGCATTCAGTGTAGCAGATAAAACACTGTTTTTGTTTTGTTCACATTTATTTAACAACCATAAAGTTTATTAAAATAGCCTTGCTGCGTTCAGGTACCTGTTGTGTTCAAGGCTGCATGAACAACCAGATCAAACTAAATCAGTGGCTAAAAAAAACAGTGTTTTGAACACGGACCCAAAATAAAAAAAGTGTTTCTGTGAAAACCAGTATAGTTTCCATCACCTACCTACAGATGAGGAATTAAGAATGTGGCTGAAAAATGTGAACTTGAAGAGACCACCCAAACGCTGCATGTGTGCTCATTTCACTTTGTTGACAAACGGCCGATGGAGGAAAACCTGCATCCCACTTTGTGGCTGGACTACAATAAACCACCAGAGAAGAGACACTGGATCCTCAGAAGGATTGTAAACAGTGTGACGAGAATATCAGGTATGATTTCAAGTGTATGGAGGCATAGCATTATAGTATTTGTTCGTCTTCAGTATTACAACTTTCTCTGCAGTTAACACAAGCTCAGTGATGGAGGACTTTAAGGCTTTGGCTGGGCTCTGTCTGCTTTAAGGTAAATAAGATTGTGTCCCACCTCTTTTAACAAAACGCCACCGACCTTATAACTGTGTAGATTAGGGTTATTCCACTGGTGGCCCGGGGGCCAAATCAGGCCCACTGGTGAGCTCAGTTCAGCCCACCAATGGGTTCATTTTTAAATAAAAGTAGATTTTAAACTGTAAAACACGCTTAATTAATGACAATAACTGCTGCACTTCTGGCCCCAGAGCTCTTGGCTTTCAGTAAATGTGGCCCCCTGAGCAATTTAGCTGAATAGCCCTGGTGTAGATTCTAATGCGCCTCAGAGCTTTTCAGGTTGTTCATCGCTTCACCGTCGGAAGCAACCGAGTCAGTGAAGTAGCTAAATATGCTAGTAGATCTGCGGCCACTTCTTCAGGTCGTCCTCCCAGCCCTCGTCTGCAGTAGGCACTGGGCAGCGGTATGATTATATTGTCCTGTTTGAGCTCTGACAGGTGGTGTTCCTACAGGTTTAAATTAAATCCAAAACGCTCGGAGAAACTAGAGTAGCTCGTACTGTTCGCACATGAACGAACGCGAGTGCCAGTCCATGCCAGAAGTCGCGCCCATAATTCACACAAGGTACCATGGGGCCTGGGAATAAGGTGGATTAAAACTTTTTGATCTTTAGAAGACCAGCTCCAGGATCGTTACACTCATAGTAGATAAACTAAAGTCGGACTTTCACCACAACAACAAAACATTTGGATAAATTGTAAATACAGCGGAGGAGACGAGCCACATACCAGGTTCTCCTCTGTGACAAAGTTGAAGATGAAGCCATAGATTGCTCGAAGCTGATCTTTTGCATCGATCATGTCGAAAACAGTCAACACCCACTTTATGAAAAGAACCTGAAACCATAGATTCAAACATTAATTCAGTTAGGGTACACTCTTACTAATACCATATAAACTTTATAAGTCATTTCAAACATGTTGCATTAACTATCCCTTCAGGGCTAAAAGTCATGATTTAACCAGCAGAAGCACATTTTGATAAATAATAACGCATGTACGGTAAATAAATGTTCTATTATTACAAACCTGAGTGCTGATGGATATTTTGTTTACACTTGACCAAACGACTGCTCGAACAACAGCTTCCTGTGGCACCACAGAGGCTGGAATCAGACACTTCAGCACCCGCACACATGGAATAGTCCCTACAAAGGAAATAAAATGTGCATCTCAAATGTTCGACAACAAGAATTACAGTGATTTTTACAAAGTGTGCCTACAACACACAGTGGATGGATCTTATCATGCTATCCTATCAATCCTAACTCTATGCTACAAGCTGAAGCATCTTTCCTAAGATATAAATTATGAGAGTGATATTACAGTTTATTATCTTACAGCTTAAACTCACAGAGCCATTATTTCAATTTTAAAAAATCCCTAGTCACAGAAAAACCCGGTGGACGGGTTCCCAGGGACAGTCTTACCCATTCGGAGGCTCATGGCGAACTCCAGCATGACAGAAATGGCCTCTGGGGGAAGTCCCCTGCTGTAGGCCACCCTCTCCACCAGGACCAGATTATTCTCAAACTCATCATTCCCAAACACAGGAGTGCCTGCTTCAACTGAGGGAGAGAGAGGAAAATACACATCAGCCTGGCACGTTCGTACCTTTTAAATTGGGGTCCAGTACATTGTTGACCCCACCTGTGGTAAACATTTACTCACAAGAATGTTAAAACAAACAAAAAAAATCCTGATGCAGGCTCAATAATCCAGGTAGATAAATCTAAAAAGTCAGGTCCTCTGGACGGATTCTTCTTGTTGAAACGTTTCGTCTTTTTTTTTTTTAAGGTTGCTGTAATTAAACCTTTACTTAAGAAGTCTGACCTTGATTCAGAAATTCTGGCCAACTATAGACCTATATCTAATTTAACTTTCATCTAAAAAAGATTCTAGAGAAAATAGTTGCAGGTCAGTTGCGTGAACATCTACAAAGAAATAATCTGTTTGAAGAGTTTCAGTCGGGGATTAGAGCTCATCATAGCACAGAAACAGCACTAGTAAAAGTCACTAATGATATTCTCATGGCCTCAGACAATGGACTAGTGTCTATACTGGTCCTGTTAGACCTCAGTGCTGCATTTCATACAGTTGATCACAATATTTTACTACAGAGGCTTGAATATGATATTGGGATTACAGAAACGGCTCTAAAATGGTTTAAATCATATCTATCTGATAGATTCCAGTTTGTAAACGTAAAGAATAAATCTTCTTCATACACCAAATTTAGTCATGGAGTTCTTCAGGGCTCAGTGCTTGGGCCAATACTCTTTACTTTATATATGCTTCCATTAGGTAAAATTATTAAACAGCATGAGATAAATTTTCATTGTTATGCTGATGATACACAATTATATTTGTCCATTAAACCCAATGAATCCAGTTAGTTACTTAGACTACAAGCATGTCTTAAAGACATTAAAAACCTGGATGACACTTAAATTTCTCCTTTAGAACACAGACAAGACTGAGGTTTTGGTTTTTGGACCGGAGCACCTTAGGAATGAATTTTTCAGTCTTTCCCCCTCCTTAGATGGCATTAATCTGGTCTCCAGCTCTAATGTTAAAAATCTTGATGTTATTTTTGATCAGGACATGTCTTTTATCCCCCACATTAAAAACGTTACTAGAACTGCCTTCTTCCACCTGCGTAATATCACTAAAATTAGAAACATCTCATCTAAAAATGATGCAGAAAAACTGGCATGCATTTGTCACGTCTAGACTGGACTATTGCAATGGTTTATTATCTGGGTGTCCAAATACGTCTTTAAAACGTCTTCAGTTGATCCAAAATGCTGCTGCCAGAGTCTTAACTGCAGTTAGTAGGAGAGATCATATCTCTCCAGTTTTAGTTTCTCTCCATTGGCTCCCTGTCAAATCAAGTAAATAATTCAAAATCTTACTTCTAATCTACAAAGCTCTCAACAACCTAGCTCCATCTTATATTACAGATCTTATTGTTCCATATTTCCTAACAGAGCACTTCGCTCTCAGGCTGCAGGTTTACTTGTGGTTCCTAGAATTTACAAAAACAGAATGGGAGGCAGATCATTCATTCATCAGGCTCCTCTCTTGTGGAACCAACTTCCAATCTCTGTCCGTGAGGCTGACACATCATCCAGTTTTAAGACTGGGATTAAGACTTTCCTTTTTGATGAATCCTATAGTTAGGGTTGGCTTGGGTTTCCTGAGCTGTCCCTTAGTTACGCTGCTATAGGCTTAGACTGCTGGAGGACAAACTGACCACACTTTTTCACTCTGCTACTGTCTTTACTCACTCTGTTCAACCGGTTTTGTATTTGTAATTATTTTTTCGATCCTTAACGTGTTGGGGTTTTTTTGTCTTTCAGGTACACCTGGACCTATATCTGGACCTACCATTCTGTGTTCGTCTGTCTCTCCTTCCTGTCCTCTCAAACCAGTCGGTCAAAGCAGATGGCCGCTTGTCCGGAGCCTGGTTCTGATGGAAGTTTCTTCCTTTTAAAAGGGAGTTTTTCCTTTCCACTATTGCCACTGTGCATGTTCAGGCTGGGAGAGTGTGACAAAGCTAAGATTCAACTTGTCTGCTGGCTTCCTTAGATAGAGAACTTTACTAACTGGCTTTTTTATGGATGTGAATGTCCCTGTAAAGTGCCCCTTGACAACTTTGTTGTTATTTGGCGCTATATAAATAAACTGAATTGAATTTATCCATAAGACTTCTTCAGTCTGAGGAACTGCAACAAACTCAGTCTTAGAAACAGCATTTTCTCATATTAGATCAACCAGTTTGCTGGTGACAGCCAAAACTAGTTGTTCACGTGCAAAACGTGGACCATCAGCCTAACAAATTGATCATTAAGATGCCTAGTGGTCGCTTGCTAGTCACAGATATTTGCAATAACAGCATAAGAGTGACAACTGGACATGGAAGCTTCCGTCCCTGTTTAATGATGGACAGTTTCTCTTCATAAAGATGGCTTCTTTCATTTTATTTTCATTTCAGCTTTATTTAAATGGTAAATGGACTGTACTAGTATAGCACTTTTCTGTCTTATCAAGATACTCAAAGCTCTTTACACTACAATCTGTGCCCTTATTTACCCATTCATACAACACTCTATTACAGTATATCTGTACAAAGACCAGTCAGTGCTTTAGATCACATTCATACACCGATGGGACACACATCGGAGGCGGTGAGTGACTTGCCCAGCAGGGACACTTCAGCATGTGACTGCTGGTGGAATCTAACCCCCCAACACTCCCTTTGGAGAATGACTGCTGTAACTGCTCAGCCACAGACTAAGAACAAATTCTTATTTACAGTACTGGCCTGGCAAGCACCAACAGGTAGGGTCAAGGGAAGGGGGACAATAGTGACGTATTCACTTCACTCCTCTTTCAAACCAACGTTCCTCTCTATCACAGATGAGTGTAGATGATGTTGTTCTTCTGTGCTGGGTCATCCTTTTGGCCAGTGACTATTTAGTTTCCCCGATGTAGAACTGATCACAGACCTCCTGACACTGAACAGCATACACAATATTACTCTGTTTGTGCCGGGGGACTGGATCTTTGGGACGAATCAGTCTTTGTCATAATAATGTATTTTGGGTTTTAAAATCCACTGGGACGTTTTGTTTAGAAAATGAACATCTCTGTTTCTCTGAAACTCCTGCAACATATGAAATGACCTAGAAATGACCTGTCTGGGTTCCTCCTTTTCACTTGATGGCTGGCTGGAGCCCTGTTTGGGTTTCTTCTCTGCCTTCAGGGAGGCCCAGTTAGGATATCCACATTGCTCCAGGGCTTGTCTTGTGTGCCTTATGCCTGGCTCCTGTGGGGACACCGTCTGCTCTGTGGTACAGAGTCCTGATGACTCCTAAACTTGTGATCCAGAAGGTGATGGGAGTTAAAATGTAAATGCTGGTCTTTTAATATGTTTAACTGCATTTTTTTACTGTAGTTTATTGTTGTTGTTGTCTACTTTTTTGTTGTCTGTACTTTATATGTTTGGGCTGGAACAGGTTCCTCTTGTAAATGAGTCCCCGTGGCGCAATGAGGCTAACCTGTATAAATAAAGGTTGAATGGAAAAAAAAATGGTGGGTGGGTTTGCAATACGCCTCAGTATGCAAATGTCCTCCATCAGCAGTGTTGTAATGTAACAAAGTAGAAATACTTTGTTACTGTACTTGAGTAGAATTTCGACATTTCTTTACTTTACTTCGTTATTTACATTTCTAGCGACTTTCACTTTTACTCCACTACATTTCCTCAATAAAATGTGTACTTTTACATCAATACATTTCCCATAACCAACTTAGTTACTCGTTCCTACAATATAAAATTAGAATAACTCTGATTGGGCAATGCCTGTTTGTTTTCTGAGTCTGTGACTTCACATGGCCCCTTCTCTCTCCCTCACCGACACTCTCACTCACAAACCCAGCCTCACCCCTGCCGCTTGTGTGAAAACTGCGGTTCCTGCTGTGAACAAACTAGATGCATATGCAGATATCAATCGTTACAATATGTATTTGTTGACTTACAGTGGAGCCACTGTAAATTCCACCTGCTTCGGATGTTATCATCCATTAAATGGCCGTTATTAGTTATTATCATTCCCATATGTAGCGTTCAGACCGCCCCTCTTCTACCTCCTAGTAGGTTTAAAGGTACGTTATTATCGCTGATAATATGGGCACATGGTTAAGAGTCAAGGGTAAGGGGATTAAGTTTAGGGTTAGTGGTCTGGGTCAGGTGTAAGGTTAGGTTTATGAAAAGGGTTATATAAAGCTAACTAAAATACACTTCTGGTTTTGCACACGAGCCGCGATGCATATTATCAACCATAAACAGGTAACTTTAAACTTACTAGGAGGTAGGAGGGAACAGTCTGAACGCTACCTATGGGGATGATAACAACTAAAAACACTCATTTAATGGACTGATAACTTCAAAATACTCCTGTATGTCTACAAATCGCTGAACAGTCCCTCCCCCCAATCTCTCTGACTTTCTACAGCCGTATGTCCCTCCACGTTCCCTGAGGTCAGCGGACCAATCGCTCCTCACAGTTCCAGGAACTTGTCTTAAGCGCAGAGGTGACAGGGCCTTCTCTGTAGCAGGACCAAGACTTTGGAACGAGTTACCTCTGCTTGTCAAACTGGCCCCTCCCTCTCGGTTTTCAAATCCCATTAAAAAACCACTACTATTCAGTAGCTTTCAATACCAGATGATCTGTGTTTTGAACCTGTACACTCCACACTGGTTTGTTGTCATATTTATTATCTGCATCATTTTTATATCTATATTTTTGATTTACTTCATTTTGTATATTGCTTTGTGTGTTGTCTGTTGTTCTGTCTGTACAGCACTTTGGTTGGCCTTGTAGCTGTTTTAAGTGCTCTATAAATAAAATGGTATGGTATGGTATAACATCCAAAGCCACTGGTAAATTCCTGATAGGTGTGAAAATGACAGTAGCTGCTAAAAAGGAGAAGTTTGGTGTTCTCCAGGAAATTAACTGCTTTAGCGCAGCAAGGTATGAAGTTGTCGGACCACTAGTCTTCCCATTAAAGAACACGGCGACAGATATCCAGTTTAGGGTGATTTATTTGCTGTGTTTCTTCTGGTATTTACACACATCAGTAAACCAATAAAGCACAAATAAACTTGAACAACAAGGCTCCATCCGTGTCGGGAGAGAAAAAAACACCTCCAACTGAGCTCTGCACTTTACACAGAGCGATGCATTCACTAGCGTTGGAACAGCCACGGTGCATTCAAAAGCTTAGGAACTATTAAATTCAGAAAGAATCTAGCCATAACCAAACAGAACAGAGCTCAGTAAACAAGCCAACACAACAACGTGGGCTTTCTAACAGCTCTGATAATAAAAGTTAATAAAGGTTGAATACTTCTATAAAATCAGCTTTTTTTTTTAAAAGAGTAATCTTTCATTGTTTAGTTCAAACTTTCCAAGTTTTTATCATTGGATATTGCACCCAATAATTGTTGTTTTGGAAATTCTATCCATTCACTTTTACGTAATACTCTTACTTTAAGTACATTTTATATGAGAAATTTACTTTTGATACTTAAGTACATTAAATGTCACATACTTTAAGACTTTTACTTAAGTAATAATTTAAAATGAGACTTTGACTTTTAACCAAAGTAATTTTATGGTAAGATACTTGTACTTTCACTGCAGTATCACTTTGAGGTACTTACCTCAAAGTGATACTTCAGTGAAAGTACAAGTATCGTCTTGTTCTAGTAGCTAACTGTGAGGTCTCTAATGGACAGTGTTGTATAAAGTTTATACAACAGTGTCCATTAGAGACCTCACAGTTAGCTAACAGAACAAGCTAATTTACATTTACTGAACTACGCAATGTTTTTATTTTGACTATATCGTTCTTGTCTGTCCCTCGCCATTTTTCTTTGCGTATATATATATATATAAAAATCTCATAAAGGTTATTTTATTTTAAGCCACCATCTGAAACTTTTCAACCAGGGCAGGGGTGGATTCGTGTCTGGCTTACCGGCAGAGAAGTACTTCAATGCTAGCACGAACGGGTCCTCCGCCTCGTTCTTTCTTCTCTCCTTTTCTGCGACCCTCAGACTTCGGTTGCTGCTCCGGCTGGACCCAGACTGGTCGCTGGAAGATGATCGGTCGGAATCCGACAAGTTTAGCGACACTCCTGCCATTTCGACATTGCTGGGGAACAAAACTGTCAAATACAGTGCCCTGTTTAGTCTGCTCCCATTCAAACAAAACTCAAATTCTTCCGCGCGACCGTTTGAGCTGCGCTTGCGCAGTAGCGCGTTTCCGCTCGCGGTGTTACAAGGGAGTTGTAGTGTTTTTTTTATGTGCGTGTATCATCGGGCGTTTACTGATGCTTGCTTGCCGCATAAACCTAAACATATCGTCATTATTGTCGTATTATTTATATTTAAAACGTTCAATAAATAATAAATAAATAACATAAAAAAGAGAACGAATGAAATACCAATAAAATTAATACAGCAGACATGAAACGGTTTAAATTTAGGCGGTGACTTTATTATATCATTATTATATTCTGATTTTTTTTCACCCTCATTTCCTTTGTTGTAAATTTCCTACACAATTCCCAGAACGTAGGTTAACATTTTCAAAAATCTAATTCAAAAGTCCAACAGAACCCAGAACGTGCTAATCAAGGCAGTCTCACCTCCAGTCTTTTATTTAAGTACACCATACACAGAAATATCAACTGCTTCTTTAAACTGCAGTAAAAAGGTGATGGAAAAAAAATGCACTGTTCAGTTTAGGACTTCAGCGGTGCAAAGGATAAAATACATATTCTAGCAAGCAAAAAGATGTTTGTTTGGTTCAGTTCTGCTGTACAAGCTCACAGCAAACACCTGAGGCAACAACTGCTGCCTTTTCCACCTGAACAAGTAAACTATGATGATCGAGTTGAAAAAAGAAAGAGAATATTCAGCTTATTCTGAAACAAGATGTAAACATACAGAAATACCAGCTAACTAATGCATTCCCTAATGAACTTTTCTTTTAATACTGGCTGAAGTACAACAGGTATAAAATTATTTCTAAAATGCTCATTTTGGTTAATCTTCTGTACTTTTGACCACAATAAACATGCTTAAAATGTACTGATTAATCGTTTCTCCTACCTACATACAGTATAAAACGAAACAGGAAAAACAAGGTACAAAGACTGAAGAAAAACAACCATTTTTAATCAACTCAGAGCAAATGAAAGTCATAGTTAAATTAAAAAATTAAAACAAACATGAATACAGCATGGGACTGAAAATAATAAGAAGCTGCGTTGACTGTGTGTGACATTTGAGTTGAGATCAACAGATTTTTCACGATTGTCCACTGATATGTAGAGGATGCACAGGACGGGACTTCGTAGTTTCACAGTAAAAGTGCAGAGGATGTAACGAGCGAGGTGAAAGTAATCAGTCAATCAGCTGGACAAGACGTAAGACGTATGTCAGAATTATTACTTGGAGTGAATGTTTCCCTTAAAATCTAGTCCGTAGAGGTGTACCAGATTTACTGCTGCTCAGATCCAGGTGAAAGGCGATCTTAAGACAGCTTGACTTTGTTTCGTTCCTGGTCGTTGACGTGCTGCTCCTCTCTGCTGTCCTCGCGCTCCGGCCGGTCGTCGCTCTGGCGGGCGATGAGCAGTCGGCAGGTGAGCAGAATGCCGAAGACTAGAGCGTGGGCGTACCGTTTCAGGGGGTCTCCTACTAGCTGGTGGAAGAACAGAACGGCCAGCATGACCAGCAGCAGCAGGAAGTTGGCCACGTCCTTCGGCCGGCCCGGCACCAGGGTCAGCACTACTCCACAGCCCACTTCCAGGGAGCCGATGATCTTGCGGAGCAGCACCGAGCTGACCCCGATCTTCTTAAGACCTGGCAACGCCTTGGCGTAGCTCTTGTACGCTCTTTTCTGAAAGAAAAAAAAAAACAAATTATAATCATTTTTGGTGTCTAAAACCATCTGATCTCCAACTTGGTCCTTTTTAAGCCCTTCAGTCAAAACTCTATATCGTTTTGTTTAAATTTTGCAACACATCAGCCTCCAGGCATCCCATCCGGCTCCATGCAGCATCATCTGCAGGTGCATCTCACAGAAATTGCTCGAATGCGCCGCCATTGCTCCTCAGCTGAGTGTTTTTTTATTTTATTGTATGCAACTACAACGTTTAATAAGATGTAATGAGCGAGCTATGACTTCCATTTACAATGCGTTTGCTCGTGCATATATGCCGCTATATTCCTGGGTTTATTTCACAATTACCACAAATCATTAAAATATATTTATAATTTAACCTTGTGGGGTTCTCTACATTAACAATGCCTTATTGACGGGAATTAGCAGAGCAGTGCTCTAATGGAAGCGCCATTTTTTTTCCCGTTTCTTTTACTATTTAGGTCATGGGCTGCCAGCCCAGAACAATGGCCTTTATTTACCCGAGTGATGCGCGCCCTTCACGTGCAGAATCCAGCGCGACTCACCATTTCACTGTAGGCGTCTTTGCTCAGTCTCGGAGTGAGCTTAATGGTCCCCATGAACACGAAGAATAAACCCAGAGCAAAAGAAAGGGCCACTATGGTTATTGTCCTTGGTGAGGCCATCTTTCGGCAGCACGCACGCAGCTGGAGGCGCTTCCGCACTGGAGTGAATGAACAGTTTCCACCGAGAGGATGCGCCACCGGGGGGGTGGGGCTTCTGCACAAAGCGCTGAATCGTACGTCGCCGCCATATTGAATGTGGCATATTGAAGCGATAGGAGAAGATTCCTAATTCATTCAATTCAATAAAAATAAAAAAATAAACTTTATTAATCCCAAAAGGAAATTAACTGTTGTTGTAGCTCATCTTGGTCATCTTGGTTTGGGAAGCTCAGTCCTCACCTCCTTCTACAGGTGTGCAGTGGAGAGCATCCTGTGCTCCAGCATCAACGTGTGGCATGGAGGCTGCACAGCTGCAGAAAGAAAAGCTTTGCAGAGAGTGGTGAAGGCTGCACAGAAGACTGTTGGAGTCAGCCTCCCCACCATCACAGACATCTACACCTCCAGATGCAGGAAGAGGGCCACCTGCATCATGAAGGACATCACTCACCCAGCACACACACTTTTTGCACCGCTCCCACCAGGAAGGAGGTTGAGGAGAATTAAGTACAGAACCACTAGCTGAGGAACAGCTTTTACCCTGAGGCTGTTAGAATCATGAATCTCTAACCAGAATAATCACTGTGAAAAAATTACGTCATATTACAGCTGAACTGTTTCATATTGCTGTGTTCATGCGTGCTCATTTACTCCCACCTCTTGTTCGTGCTGATGTTCAACGTAATGTTTTTATGCTATTAGTGCTTAGTGTATTATTTAGCAGATGTTTTTCTTAGTTCAAATCTTATATCTTATTACTGTTTTTCTTTTACATTTTATTGTTGGATGTAACTGGGACCCTGCGTACATAATCTCGTTCCACCACATGTACCACATGAGATGCGAATGACAAATAAATCTCTCTGACTCTGACTCTCTGGTTTCATTAGAGTTGTTCTAGATGCTGATGGCTTTGGGCAGGAAGTAACTCTTGTAGCAGTCCATTCCACAGCAGATCCGAAGAAACTGGCTGCAGATGCCGATCAGTCCACCCAGACTCAGCAGGCCTCTCGGTCCTCTTGTGCAGCAGGACTGCCTGAATGCCACGCAGAGCTCCTCCCTGAGCGATGGCCATTTCTCCCAGCAGCCTGCCTAGCCCCTCGTCACCGCAGACTTAATTGCATGTGCTGGGGTATGATCTCGGTCCTCCCACTGTCACGTGCAGTATTATCCGTTACCTCCAAGATCTCGGCAGTCAGGCACTCGAGCAGAGCCTCCAGGTAGATGGTAATGCATCCACAGCACCTCCTTTTCAACTCATTTGGGATTTGGGGGCTGAGGTATTATTTGAGCTTTTGAGATGTTAATCAGCAGCTTCCAGATGTAGCAAACCACCTTGTTGTTATGGTTACACATTACAACAAATGTCCAAAAGTTAAAAAAAAAAAGGCTTCAGTAAAAATCCTTCCAGTGAAACAGAATCTGATACCAGAGGAAGTAATCATCTGAAAAAAAATAAAATAAATTTACATCCAGAAAAAAAGAGGAATTAAAGTTTTCTAAAGCAAAATCTCAGAATGAATGTAAGACATGCAGCCACATTGAGCGGCGCAATTCTGGAACTCGAATTTAGTGGCAACAGGGAAAAAGCTGTGCAAGACTATAATTTTTCCAAAATTACACACATACATTCATATATATTGAATATGCTTTCTGAATTGACAGAAATAATAATTATTTGGTCTCTCTTGTAAATGAGTCCACGAGGCTCAATGGGACTAACCTATATAAATAAAGGTTGAATGAAAAAAAGCTTCATTCAAACCATCTACGTCTGCTAGATCCCATCCCAACCAGACTATTCAAAGAGGTATTTCCCTTAATTGATAACCACATTTTGGATCTGCTTAATTTATCTTTAATGCAGGGGTTCTCAAACTTTTTGGTTCAGGGACCCCTTACAGTAGAGAAACCCTCATGTTTATGAATTAATTTTCTTCTATTTGTCTCTTTAATGCAATGGAAATATTTGTGTACCATCAATACTTAAGACCTGTTCTTTAATAGTCAATACAATTAGTGTATAGTATATAATTTAATAGTTAATACAATTTTTATACCTTAAAACATGGGGTATTTTTCATTCAAGACACATTTAATCAACAATATTTTTAATTTCAACTTCCAAAAAATACAGTTTTGAAAGAATTAACAGTATCAAAAACCACATTAAAACTTTACCTATTCACATAATGAATATAAATGCCATTTCTTCAAATTATTACAGAAAATGCTTTACATAAAACCAAACCGATTCATAACAGCAGTAGTCATAGGGACAAGGTGTTTATTATTAATAGACAAATCACAAATCTAATCTACTTTTCTAAGACCTGAGCTCATTGCTGGACAGTTCCCAAATAATCATAAAAATGCAATAAAAAAAAAAACCATCTCACATTCAAAACAGCAGTTTTTTATGCTTTCATTTTCTTATAAACAAACTCTCAACATTTTTGGCCAAAAATACATGTTTTCTTTTTATATTCCTATATATTTTCAAATAAAACCTCCATAATTCTTCCCATCATAGCACTCTAGATTGTAGCCGAAGACTCAGGGATTGGGCGGTAAGTGAATCTAACTTGTTTAAACAGCCTGGTTGTCCTGATGACCACATCTTCACACAGCTGGCTGGACTCAACCTGGTCTCTGTCCCTGATCCTGACGCTCCTTCAGAGCCAGAATTGCTTTTCTGTAGAGATCTGTCAGGAAACAGTCATGAGTTTAAATTAATGCTGTGACTTTTGTCATTTCAGGGTTACTGTGTTTGACTGGCAGGTGGACGGGGAGGATTTGACTCACCAAAGGTGGAAGAAAGGTCCACGGGTTGAGAATACGCCCCAGGCATCTCCTCTATGTTGATTTTATTTTTTCTTTTCACTTTCCCAATTTTTTTCTTTGTCCTCTTTTTACCTTTAGCTACAAGTAAAATAAAACACTGATCAGTTTTGCAATTGAGTTAAAACGGTCAATAAATAATTTAAAAAAATTCAACCTTTCAGCATCGTGTCGTCGTTTTCGAGTGCTTCTGCAACATCCAGCGTCTCTTCCTTCACTTGTGTTTCACACTTCAGTTTGCTTTTCTTTGGAAGAATCAAAGCACTGCTGGCTTTGTTTCTGTGAACAGAGTTTTCTTGCTCTCCTTCATTGCCTTCACCCTCCTCTTCCTCTTCTTGTTCCTGAGCCACCTCATCTTTTTCATCCTTGTCGGCCTTAATGGACTTCTTCTTCTTCTTCTTCGTCCTCAGCTGCTTTTTCAGAGAGGTCTCCTGGAAAAATCAAAAACGCGTTCATGTTGACGCTCACACAGTATCAGACATTTCACATCCGTGAAAAACAAATGTGAGCAAAAAAAGTAGCAATATACTATGTAAAAGTAATAAAATGTTTTTAAAAGTAACAAAAAACTAGTTGAAAGTAGCACAATACGAACTAGAAAAAATAAAATGCTAATTAAAAATAACAAATCGCTTGTTTGATGAAGCAAATAACTAAAAGTAGCTAATTCACCACTTTTATTGTCTGTCCAAACAGGGCTCACTTGTAAATGAGTCTTCGAGGCTCATTGTGACTTATCTGTTTAAATAAAGGTTGAATGAATGAATGAAAAGTGCGAACTAAAAGTAGACAAATGCTAAAGTAACAAATTGCTAGTTTAAAGTAGCTAAATGTTAACTAAAAGTAATAAAACGTTAGTTAAAACAGTCAAATCACTAGTTTAAAGTAGCAAATGGTAACTAAAAGTTGCTAAACGCTAACTAAAAGTAACAAATTCTTGTCTACACGTAATAAAATGTTAATTAAAAGTAAAAATCACTAGTTTAAAGATGCAAGCACATGCAAATGCTAACTAAAAGTAATAAAATATTAACTAAAAGTAATTAAACACTAGTATAAAGTAGTAAATGCTAACTAAAAAGTAGCTAAATGTTAACTAAACGTAGCAAATGCTAACTAAAAGTAGCTAA